GCGTCGTAAAATCGATTATTTAACACCTAAAACAACTTGTTGTCAGCGCAGACCAATCGATAGAGATCGTTCGCGAAGTGCAGAACGGAAAGTTAAAATTTTCGCAGCTCGCGCGAACCCAAAAAACCGCAATTCCGCCCGAGAACCCTCAAAAAAACGGGGGTAATAAGGCCGATAGGTCGACGGGCGCAAAAAAAGAAGGTTGGCTACAGACATGTTTTACTCCAACGCGCTGATCACCATCGCGAGATTTATGGGCGATCAGCACAGGGTTGGGCTATCCATAATACCGCCGCCGCCCGGAGAACTGATCGATGCGGTCGCTATACCTAAGTCTCGGGCGATAAGCGCGGCTCAACGGTTTTGCGCGCTCGGGTACGCGGGTAGGCGTGCTGAATCACCGCGCGCGCCGAGATTGGATATGCGGACGCCGGGAAACTCGTGTCTCTGCGGCGGAAAACAGAAGTTGGTTCTGCACTGCTGCCGGTGGGGAACCAACTTTTTCCCCCGATTCTCTACGGCCCGATAACAAAATGCAAACCATTGTTATAGCATTTTTAAGATCCTTAGATATAAAAGAATATAAAATAAATCAGAAAAATTCTCGAAAGTATGGAACTTTGGTTAACTTTTGGTCAAAAATGTATGAAAAATGACCAAAAAGGCCAAAATGTTCGTATTTTGAAAATTTTGAAAATGTATTATGTCTTTCTAGCGATCAAAAAGTGGTAGAGGCGACAAAAACAAAAAGTGCTTCCCCGCCCGTTAAAAGTACAGCACCTAAAAGCTGTGTGCCCTGCTCGGATTTTCCCTATCAGATGGAGCGCAATAAGTTTATCAACATAAATTCGTAAAATCCTGTAATGATTCGAAAGCGTTGCTCAGGCGTCGTCCCCACTGCCGAGCTTGGCCTTCTTTTCCGCGACCTCCCTCCTGAAAAGTAGGGCTTATTAACGCAAAAACTAAAAGGCTGCCTGAGCTGAAAAAGCTATACCTCGCGGGCCGTCGTTGCCGCTATACTCGAGCGCCTTTACGACTATTACGGACCTTAAATTTGGTTACTGTCATGCCAAAAGAGGGACGGACACTGGCGCTGTGAATTCCACGGACAAACAACACGTAAATCGGTGCTTGGCAATATCGGGGGCTTCTGGACACAAAATTCAAAACACTTTTTTTGTAATTTTCAATAAAAATTGTAGTTTTTCTTCTCGGAATATTAGACAATTTAGGGAAGACCTCCGGTAAACAATATTAGAAAAAGTGGATCCCAAGCAAAATGAAGGTCCCACCGATATTGCGGTAAGAACCGATATCTCACGCTCGAATCGAAAGTATAGATAAATTTTTACAACCTTATATTCGAAAATTCATGTGTAAAAAATCTAAATTCTCAAAAACCACCTCCATCTCCTTGTCGACGATCGGGAGGGCCCGTCGGGCCATCTCGATGGCACCTCGCGGGTTTTGTGCCCGCCGATGAAGCCCGTCATGTGCACGAATACGCAGCTAAACAATAAATGGAAGGTGGTGGCCATACGGATTTTAAAGATATCCCCCAATAAATCACAAAAATCTACCCTTCAACACCGACAACACTGGAAAGCTCCTCGTCCCTCAAGCCTCGCCACTTCTTTGGTAGGGGTCCGCTGAAAAACAAAAGTTTCTCTTAATAATTCTCGGAACTACCGGTTTTGGAAGTTGGCTCTCCTGTCGGTGGGGATAGCCTGGACGCGCCAGCCGGAAGACGTCGAGTCGCCAAAGAGCATGTAAGTCATGCGCGAACCGGTCAGGCCCTGAAATCCAAAATTGGACTTTTTAAACTTTCAAATTAAGCTGAAGTCTGCCTAGTAATGAGTTGTTCATCCACGTTTTCTAAGGAAATGTTGAACTTGATTAACTTCACATAAACGACATAAACACATAAAAGCGTGTTTTCCCCGCAAAAACAGAAGCGTGAAAAAATTCTGTGAAAACTTTCTCAAAACAGCCACCCACCAGCGTTTCCTCAATATCGAAAAAGTGCTCTTCCACGGCACACCCCCCGTTCTCCATCGTCAGAATTCGGCCAGACGGATCAATCTAAGATTAATCAAAATCTTTTGGGAAGTTGAAGCTTACCGCTTCTCGATTCTTCACCGACTCGACGACAATTTGCCGTGCAGGCCACCAGACGCCATTCAAATAGTGCAAGTGCTCGAGGAACGTCCCGCCGACCAGTTTCATAGCATCGGTGAACCTAAAAACAGGCAACTTAGATCCCAAATAGCAAACGCACCTTGCGTTGGGGTTAACGTCGTCTTCATTCCAACCGGATTCAAGCCGCCGACCCGAGCGGAAATGCTATCCGACGAGAGATACCTAAACTTGAATTATGGGAAATTGAGACCCCAAGCGCACCTGGGCACCCCATCATACTGCTGAATTCCGTTATCGACGGCGTCAATCTGCTCGACGAACGTCCCATAGAGTCGGCGATAAAAGATGTTCACCCGAGGGTCATCCTGATCGATCTTTAGCACCTAGAAGAAATTAAAAACTAAACCGCGCAGCCGCTGCGCTCACCTCAGCAATAATCGCTCGGCCATAGTGGGCGTAGATCAGTCCGGCCGACGAGAGTTTCGTCGAGAAATCGAGGATACCAAGCGACTGCATTGAATTGTCGAAGTCCCTAGACGGAAATTTCTTGAAGACGAGGACGCTTACTTTGGTGATGATCATATCGCTCTTATCATGGCTGTAAACGCCACCGACATCCACGACGACGTCGCACGCGTCGAGCACGGCAGGATCGCGGCTTCTAAAAATGCGATCAGGATAAGTTCAACTAAACCTGCCTCACGATCTCGTATCCCTTGAAAGTTGGCAGTTCCTTCAACATGAAGCAGGCGAACGCCTCGTCACAGTGGAATTTGCCGTTATGGGTGCCGATCTTCCCCATAGCTATAAACAGAGGGTGTAGATGAAATTTGGAAAACCTCTAGCGGCACGGGCGATCAGCCTTGTGAAGTTTTTACAAGAAATAATGTCTAAATAACGAGCATAAACTGAAAAAGAATAATTATTTAGCACCAAGCGCCGATTGTAAATCGAATTTTGGCCAACGATGATGAATCAGGCAGAGAATAATAGCTTTATCAAATCCCTAAAAATTAAAAAAGACAATCGGTGAAAAATCGGCAAAATCCTAAATACCCGCACCAATATTTCTTATCGGCTAATAGACCAAAAATCACAAATGAATCCTCTATCACTAGAAAAAATTCCTTACAAATTTCGAGACAACATTCACAAAATAGGGGATATGGTGTTCGGCTCGTCGAAGGGCTGTCGCATCCAGCACCGAGGAGTACTCGAAAAGACGGGAGCATTCCTCCTTCAACCTCGATTTCAGCTTCGTTCTTGGTGACCAAGAGTACTTGGGCTTCCAGATCGCGGTGAACGGAACGATAGCCTGAAGCGTCATAAAAACGAGGTTCTTTCGCATTATCGGGGGGAACCAATTGTTTCTTAGGATCTAACTTTGAAAATCAAATAGTGGAAATCTGTTTCTAAATGGTTTTTACTAGTCCTAAACGGGACAAAGTAGCGAAATTAAAAAATTTCCTAAAATCCCGATTTTTCGACTTTCACAAGCTTTGAGACAGTTTTTGCGACTAGACACGATAACGCGAAAGAACCCTGATGAAGCTAATTGAAACCTTAAGCAATAAATACCATAATTGCTGGACCCAATCAATGTAGCCGCCACACCCTCATCGCACATCCATAGTCCTTTCGCGTGGAATGTCCAGCCGGGCCGCTTATATTCTCGGAGATCGATCTAAGGACAAAGAACTGTTTTTAGGGCTCAAAATGGCACCTGACGCTTCGAATTCCGCCCAGAAATTTTCAGAAAATCCTTGGCGATCCAGGAGTACATGCTAGGCACGTATTTCGAAGCTCCGGCCGCCCCGAAAAATCCGTTGGCCTAAAAACAGCGTCGGCGAGAGAATTCTACAATCTACCTCTGGCGCAGCGACCAGCACCTCCATCCCGTACTCTCCAACACCAAAAATCCGCTCGATATACTCGTCGATACAGTTGAAATATCCGACGCCATAATTATTTCCAGTGCCGATGTCTAGAAATATGAAACTTGGTAAAAATGGGCGCTCCAACCTTCGTCTCAAATAATCTCTTCAGAAAATCATATTCTTGATGGATGCTGAAGGGGCCCATTTGGAGAAGCGGATAAAGGAAGGTGTCGGCCCCTAGGAATCCAATTAAATCGTTTTTACCAAACCCGCAGAACCTTGATTCATCGAGCGGATCGACACTTTCAGCCGTTCTATACACCCTTCAATCTGCTTCTGAAAGCGCCGTCGATATTCAACAGAATCACCTAGAAAAGGCAACTTTTTAGCAATTACCTAAACTAAAACCCTACCTAAAAACGGGTGCACCTCACACTCCCGGTGAGGTATCGCCGAGCCATCAGGTTGCAGTACGAAAGAAGATTTAGAAACCTAAGAAGAAAATTTTCTTGTTTAGGAAACCTTTTTACCTCTGCTATAACATCACAGAAAAAGTTGGCCAGCTCGGGCACATTCTTGAACAAAATATAGCGGTCTTGTCGATTAGTAAAGTAGCTATCGGAGAGGTTAGCACTAAAAGCTAAATTCCATGAAAGAATCTATCGCAAACCCGCTGATAAGGACGTTATCGTCAAAAATATACAACTTCATGTGCTGGAGGCCAACAATTTCGTTCGTCCTTTCCGGCAAGAGGCGCTTGATGAAGCCGCTGAGTTCTGGGGTGTGGTAGAGGGAGACCTAATTGACAATATAGTCAGTCAAGATGGTTTCCGAACCTGGGCAACGATCCGCGATTGGCGCCAGTTGAGTTGTGCTGCTCTTTTCTTTTGCTGTGCCTCTCGTCCTCGCAGATAATCGAGTAATAACGTCATCTCCAAACGGTCGTTTCTTGTAAGAGCTTCATCTAGTGTCGATACCTAAAACACTGATTTTCTCAATAGAACACTACAAGCCTGACCAGTAGCTTCTCGAGCTGCCCCTCTCCAAGGTATAAGCTGCTCCAAAATACGCTTTTCTCCGCCCGTTTCGTCTCATCCTAGAAATGAAAGTCTACAATTCCCGAACAGAAACTCACGATCAAAACCTCGTAGAATTCGCTCGGCTCATTGATGATTTGGATGGACTCTTCGCGGACGGGGATCGCCTGTAAATCCAAATTGAACCAATCCATGCATCTACCAAGCGTTGGCGCAGTTTCTTTGAACTTTTCAAGGAATATTGGCTAGATTTTTGCGGGCAAAACTTTAATAAAACTTCGAAAAAGTTATTGAAAGATGGAGTACGAGGGCTCCTCCTTGCGGAATTGCATGTCGTAAGTGGAGGAGCGATCCGGAATTGGCTTGAACCGATTTGATTTCAATTGAAAAGATTGAATTAGATGGATTTGCTCAGGCTCAGGCTTAGGCTTAGGCTTAGGCTTAGGCTTAGGTTAGGCTTAGGCTTGGGCTTAGGCTTAGGCTTAGGCTTAGGCTTGAGGTCGACCCGGGAAATAGACCATATCGATAGGCCAACGAAAATTTTAGATTTTTTTATTTTATTTTTTTTTTGCTGGCGATTGCCTCCGGGGTAGATTTTTGCGCTCTTTCGAATGGGAGACTTTTTATGAGCCATTTTCATCCTACGAACAGGTATACCTGCTTAAGTTTCGGCTTAAGCTTGAGAATATGCTATTTTTTTGGGGTTAAATTCCCAGTTTCTCTGATATTTTGCCGAACGCCAAAATTATATTAGGTAGCATTTATTGTTGCTCTGATAAATTATGCGTAACCGTTGTCGATAGCCGTCCATCCTTCCGGTTTCTCCGGACGGCTCTCCGTCGTCCGGTGCACCTCCGGGAATTCTGGCTGGCAAATCGGGGCTCGGCCGCGGGTGCCCGGGATCTCGGCGCAAATCTCCCAGGCTTCACAGTCGGCCCAGCTCTCGCACGGGCGATCTTTAAATGGAAATTTTTCCTTGGTACTTTGGCATTATCGGTAACGATAATTTTCTTAAATGGTCTCTGCTAGTCTGCCCGATCATTGAAGCTTTTTTAAAACTTCCCAGCCCATTTAAACGCAATCCTTGCCCCTTCTCACCTCCAATCGGCGGCCAGGCAACGGCTGGGGAGGATGCGAATGCAAATAAGAATACAAAAATAAAGGATAGATATATTTTAGGAAGCATCAGGATGGAATTGATAGAAAACACGCGAAAGTCGTGGAAATCCCCAGAAATTTTGGCTGGCTTCTGGTGATTCAGGCGCTGCGGCGAATGTGGGGGATCTGGGCGCGATGACCGGTTTCTACTTGCGGATTGGGGCACTTTTTAGGGTGCGTGACCCGATGGAGGGACGAATGTTTGTGCCCTAAGGGTATTTTCTCGGAAATTGCCTTCCGGGGGTTAGTAGACATTGTTGAGGAAGAGGAGAGGGTAGGCTTAGCGGAGATTGTTGAGGAAGAGGAGAGGGCAGGCTAGCAGAGATTGTTGAGGAAGAGGAGAGGGCAGGCTAGCAGAGATTTTTGAGGAAGAGGAAAGGGCAGGCTAGCAGAGATTGTTGAGGAAGAGGAGAGGGCAGGCTAGCAGAGATTTTTGAGGAAGAGGAAAGGGCAGGCTAGCAGAGATTGTTGAGGAAGAGGAGAGGGCAGGCTAGCAGAGATTGTTGAGGAAGAAGAGAGGGCAGGCTAGCAGAGATTGTTGAGGAAGAGGAGAGGGCAGGCTAGCAGAGATTGTTGAGGAGCTTATCAACATAGCAGATATTTTTTTGGGGTCTCAAGTGTATTTTCACCATTAAAATCCTCAAATCTTTATCAGGCACATTAAAATCTCACTTTACCAACAATAAAACACATTTCAAACAAGTGGCGCACAGAAAAAACGGCTGTTGACAAGTGACATCGCCTGAGGGCCCGAGGAAACGGACAGGGTCGGGAAAAGCCACTTTTAAAGGACCCGGCAAGGTAGGATATCAGCCATTAGTGCGCCTGCAAATTTTCACACTTCCCCGGCCGTGTCCCCCCTCGGGCGCACTACACATTCTCGATAGACCCGATACGACACAGACACAAAAAAAAGGAAAAGCGAGGGCTGGGCCACGGCAGTCGAAACAAGTCTTAGAAGGCGATCGGAAAGCCCAGCCCCGGCACAAAAACATCAAAAAAATTGCCAAAAAATACACTGAAACGAAATCTTTGCATAGCACTTGGTGGGGGGGAAGGCATTATCGACCAAAAAAAGCGTGTAAAATAAAATACAATAAACTGAACTTTACGGGTATAAAGGGTAATCTCACGGGTTTCGCTTTGTTTTCTGGGCTGATACAAAATACAACAAATAAAAAATCTCAAATTTGTAAGTTGAAAGGGATTGTGAAGTCAGATTTCTGGATTTAAAAAAAAAAGAAATTCTCTGCTAACCTGCCCCTCCTCTTCCTCAACAATCACTGCTAGCCTGCCCTCCCCCCTTTCCACGAAAATCTCTGATGGCCTGCCCTCTCCACTTCCTCAACAAGCTCTGCTAGCCTGCCCTCTTCTCTTCCCCGACAATCTCTGCTAGCCTGCCCTCTCCTCTTCCTTAACAATCTCTGCTAGCCTGCCCTCTCCTCTTCCTTAACAATCTCTGCTAGCCTGCCCCCGTCTGACTTCAGCGTCCCTTTAAACTTACAGTAAGCTGCCGTCTTGTCACCATTTTTCGAGATTTCAGGAATGTTTAAAGGGATGAAACATCCATAAATTACAGTATCCGGCAGCATCCTTTCCGCTGTCGGGCCCTACTCTGCACGTAGTTCATCTCGCGTACGATTTCCGCGAACGTGACGTTCACCTGAAACGATTTTTACGATTTTCTGGGCCTAAGCCTGAGCCTGAGCCTAGAAATTGGAAATAATATAGGATTGAGGAACGTTGAGCCTTGAGTCTTCAGAACCTACGTTATGTGCATTTTTGGCCGAGCACTCGGTGAAGGGGCACGACCAGAATTCGGCGAGGGCCAGCCCCTCCTCGGTCCGTACTTGCCGCTGATGACCCAGGTCGCACTTGTTGCCGACGAGCAGACCGGGGACTTGTTCGGTACCCTGGAAAAAGGCGATTGAAGGGGAGAGAGCATGCTAGCAGAGATCGTTGAGGAAGAGGAGACGGCAGGCTAGTAGAGATCATTTGGCCGTGCCCACCTTGACCCCGAACGATCTGCTCGCGCATCGTCTTGATGTCGTGGAACGTCTGCTGGCTGGTGATCGAGTAGACGACGACGAAACCCTAGAAAAGGTGGGGTTTAAAGGGGTGTTGAAGGCAGAGAAACGACCTGGAACCAAAAATTTTAATTGGAATAACGCCACCCACCCGCTCCATTTTTAATGTACAAATCGCACATCGACGCGAACTGCTCGGTGCCGGCGGAAACGAGAACCCACCAACAGGCATGGTCACCCGTCCAATCTGAAACCGTGGGATTGAGAAAAATTCCGATTAACAATCTTACAGCCTCACCTCTCCCCATCCTCAAGAATCTCTGCAAGCCCGCCCTGGGCCGCCCATCTCTTCCCCTCAACTTGAACGCACCTCGATCTCCTTCCCATAAAAACCTCAATCGTCGGATCGTACTTCGATAAAGAGAGCCGGAGACGAACTGGACCGTCAACGCCGACTTGCCCACGCCGCCCGGAGCCGAGCACGACCACCTTGAACTCGCGCATCAACCCCTGGAAATTGGAGGTATGAACGTAACGAAGGAATGTAAGGAACGAAGAAAGTCATGAAGAAAGGTTTAAATGTAAGGGAAAGGCCGCCAAAATGGATTTTCCATTGAATTTCCCGCCTGCTGAATCATCACTTTTCAAGCAGGAAAAATAAGCAATTCCCGATGACTCAAAAAAAGCTCGATTCACATGTTTTGTTTTGAAACCGGACGCTACTAAAAATGGCATGCGTCAGCGCGTGAAAAATAGCGAAATAGAAATTGTAAACAATTGGCGTAGGCCTAGGCTTCGGAATGGGATAGACTTAGGATTGAACTTAGGCTTAGGACCCGGCACAGGCTGGGGCTTAGGGCTTAGGTTTTGGCACGGGGCTTAGGCGTATGCATAGGCTCACACCAGGCTTAGGCTTCTTGGTATATATAGGCTTGGGCTTGGGCTTGGGCTTAGGCTTATTAGGCTTGGGCCCAGTTCGCTTTTAGGGCTTAGGCTAGGCTTAGGCTTGGACTTGGCTTACTGTAGACTTAGGCTTAGGCTCAAGCTATCTGTTTAAAACTAAAACTTGAAAACTAAGCAGAGAATGGCAAAAAGTTCTAATTCTCAAGAAATTAGCGTTTTTTATAGCAAAGTAAAATTTAAAGCGAGTATTTCAGGCTTCGTCTTCATTTCAGGAGCATCTGATTTACAATGACGGTCGTTCCAAAAAAACACCGGAAACACTTTTTAAAATGTATGGATTGGCGGGCGCGAGGTGGAGTTTAGCCGATTTTGAGGCAACTACGCGACGCTTCCGCCCGGTACGCAAAGCGACGCCCGGCTTTTTGAAAGGTGGGGGAAATTGGGTGAACAAAGAGGACCCCTACAATAAAAAATCTCCTGCAGTCACCGAAAGAAACTCTCATAGATGCCGTGCTCGGAAGCTCTCCCAGGGCCTCTGTTAGCCTGTCTGGAGCGTGTTCTTCCTCAATGGCCTCTGCTCGCTCACTACTAGAATGCCTTCGCAGGCCATAAATGGTAGATGATTGGCTCGGGGGCGGTGTGGATGGGTGGTATAATCTGGATAGGCCGAGGTCAGCGGGACAGGACGGCATTGCCATGCTCCAATGCCTAGCGAGCACCAGTAGTCGGGGATGGGCGGCCTAGCAGAGATCGTTGAGGAAGAGAAGAGGGCCGTCTAGCAGAGATTGTTGAGGAAGAGGAGAGGGCACGCTAGCAGCGATAAATATAAAATTT